AGCAGGGAAAATACTGCTAGCGTTGCTTCCGACTTAAGAAAACACCAAATACAAACAGATTCGTGCAGGCACACACAGGGAAAAAGCCTTTCAGCATATCGCAGTTTATTTAAACACAAGGATTAAAAACTTTAAAAACCGACTAGCCAGCAAACTAAACATATAAACCAGAAGCTGAAAATGAACAAAATCTGTAAGACACAAATGCAAAATTCTGGGTGACCGTCTGCCCACCCACTGGCTGGCTGCTGGGATTCCCATCACAGCCCTCTCCTGGGATGCTATTTAGGGGGCTTTATCTTTTGGAATACTAGATGCCTGATAAAACTGACACTCCACTACCACTTCACCCCAGGCTGGGAACAATGAAAGCCCACCTAAGAGCACAGGAAAATGACGCTGAAAGAAAGGGTCTCTATTGCACGCTCTGTCTCTTGGATAATCGGTGGCAATCAGCAAGAGTATTTTTGCACCATGAGCCCTTTCCCCAGCTGCAGGTCCTGGGTGCTCCCCATGCCCGGGCAAGTTGCTCTTTCTTTCCCAAGCAGCAGTTTGGGGGTGCCCTGAGTCACAGGCTGAACACCTGCATGGAAACTGAGTGGCCCCACAGGAAAGCCTCTACCTAAACGCTCGTCTTTCTAAAGAGAAGCTTCAGTTACATAGAAACAGATGACTATGTTTCCCCTCATCTACCAGATAAAACTTTCCAGTGATCATCAGAATACAGGAACAATATTCAGCTAGTCATTGTAAATCTATCAATTCTACACCAAGACTGAAATTAGAAAGCCCAAATCAGCATTTAATATACTATTATTCTGAAGTGTGAAAAAACATTTAACGCAGGTCAGCAAAGCTTTTCCACCAACCCCTCTGCCTCCCCGGCAGCAAAGAGCTGTACAATCTCCATTTCTGTTTCTGCTGGTTACCATTTTGGGGACAATTAGTTAGCTTGCTTCTGTGCAGATATCAGGTTCAGTGTATATATATATTCCTATATATATAGGAATTCTATAAAGAAACTCAAACAACAGGTGCCAGATTTCAATTGTAAGAGAGTAATGAATTAGCTTACTGAAGTCATCTACTCCTAAATGCTTAAAAGCATACAAAATTTTCTTACTTTTGTATCCAAAGTATTTCCTATAGGGAACAGTTTAGATGCTGCACCACAAGTAAGAGGTACTTAGGAGAGAGCAGGAACAAGGCAAAAAAGATAGCTGAAAGCCATCTTTGTACTTTTCCAGTATCAGGGCATTCTGCTGAGGGGCCAGAGCGGAGGGAAGGAGACACAATCCCCCCAGCACGAGCTACCGAGGCTGCAAAACTCTAGCAGTAGAGCAAAGGAGCCACCCAAGCTCTGCCCTAGGTAACCCTTCCATTTCCAATAAAAATAGCACTACCTACTCTTCAAAAGCCTCTGACATTTGAAAATACACACTTCACAAATGTTCTTCCAACACAAGTTACTTAGGACTCCACCGAAACCGCCACCTAAAAAACATCAAGCAAAAAATAGTAACGCTTCTGGCTTTGGCTGGAATAACACACATGCTGTCTGTCTATCATAACGTTGCCAAAAAGACACCCATTAAAATACTAAAGTCAGTGCTACTACCAAGTTTGAAGTCATCTCAGCTAGCTATGTTCTCCTTTAGCCAGTCCATGGTTTTAGCCTCAGAAGCGTTTGTCTACCCAGTGAGCATTTGGAATTTTCAGTTGCGCTCAGGCAACTCTACTGCACCAACATATTTGGAAAAGTACAAATTTGTATCTCCACACAAATTTTACATGAAACGTCTTTTTGCCACGCTAGAAAATGTCCAATAGAAGACAGCAAGTCAGAGTGCTCAGTCAGGAGACGCGATACGGATCAAAAATACAGCTAGAAAAGATATCCCAAAGGTTGAAGTAGGGGAACAGGTTCTCTCAGAGAGGGGACAGGACAAGGGAAAACCAGGTGGCTGGACTTGTGGATGACTAGATCACACATCATCAGCTAAACTCTGCTTGTCTCACAACGCTGGGTAGCACTTCTCACAACAAAGACAGGGAAAAAAAGCAAACCAAAGGAGTAAGATTGTGCAATTAAAAAAAAGGCAACTTCAGTCAAAAGCCACCACCACAGAAAATGGCAGTTACTTACTAGGCAGTACCTTTCAGGCTCATATAGCTTCTGCCATACAAACATACATCATCACAGCAACCTTCATCTTCTCTCAGTATGTTCAAGGTTGTGATCCACAAGCACAGTATCACAGCGGGCAGAAAAATTTCTAACCAAAGAATGACGTGTATGACCCATTTCTTAGAAAATTTGTGAACTGGGCATTCTTAATTATATTTATACTATCAACTATGGTACCACTGCGCACATATACAAGACTCCCAAAGCTAGAACAGACTGTACTGCTTGAGTAAACAACTTAAGATGTACCTCTGTTACCTTATATACTCATTTCAGCAAGAATATCACTTGCCCAAATGAAGCAAAGTAGTTTACGTGGATGGAAGTAAATTTTCCAGACTTTGGTAACTAGGTAACATGAGAATCGCTGCTTATGGATCTCGAACACATCAGACCTAACACCACCACCTATCTTTCATTCTTTTAAACCAAATCTCATCTTACTGCTTCTATGAAGAAATCTGATACCTTGGCATTCTATTTTAAAATAGTTCATTAAAAAAGTTTCTGGTTTGTTTTCAGAAAAAAAAAATCCCTCTTAGAAAATAATTTTAATTTTTAAAATGCAAACAGTTAACTAGGCTAGTCAATGTCTATCTTCACTGTTGACTTAATGTCTTCTAGCTCCACTTTCTAAACAAATAGCATGTACAGTCATTATTCAAGGCTCTCAACAGCTGTTACAAAATACCAAACTTGGTAATTAAGTCTGACAGGGCTGTACTTTCGCTTTACAGAAGAGAATACTGGCAACATATCCACTTGCTAACAATGCCCCCAGTTTTAACATAAAACCAGTCACAAAACGAATAAAAGCAAGTGATGAGAGGGGAAAAAAAAAATGGACTGCAGTTTTCAAAATGATACTTTCTGAAACTGCGATACAGCTCCCCTCCCCTTTATCTCAAGAGCTATCAATGTCTGCATTTACAAGGTCAACACTTAACTGTAGCACCTGATTTACAATAGCTTATCCTTTAATACTGTCAGGCTACCAGAGCAATACTTTAATGAAGAATTCACAATTCTAAGCATGGAACTCAGTCAAGAGTGACTACACATATGCTAACAAACCTCATTAAAGTTCACTGGCGTTCACGTGCTTGTTTTATCTCAGCATTTAAAAGACCACAGTAAACAGCAGAGGAAGGTAGTAACAGTGCTTAAGTCACATTTTAATTAAAAACAGTTGAATTGCCCATACAGGTAATACCCAGAAATTGTTCTGTATCCAACACTTGATTGGAGAAGAAAGCACTTTCAGTTTACTGCTCGTTTTATGGCAGACATTTGTTCAGAAACTGAAGAACAATTCCTTGGGTTTTTTTAGTATTCCCCTAAGCCTGGCTCTGTTCATTCAAAAGACTTTCAGCTGCATACAATTTAAGGATGATACATAACCCACGGCATACCCACAATCAATAATGAAAACAGCAATCATCTCAAAACACTTGTTTCCCAGTGAGCTGTACGTTATCAGCCCAATATGAGACAAATATTAGCTACAAAGCCAAAACATATCTTTGTAAAGCCGTCTAGGAGTTGCTCTTGCAACCAGCAATTAAGATAACCTTAAGCAGTAACAAATTTTGGTCCAGCTTTCTTCCCAGAGTTATCAAACACTCTGAAGTTTTGTCAACACTGAGGCCAGCAGCCACAGGAAAAAGCAAGGCATAATTAATATAATCCCTTAGGATAAAGGATTCTT